GCTGGAGGATTAGGAATCCCTGGGATCCCTGGGATCCCTGAGCCTGCACAGGGATCGTGACTTCGCATCCCTGGAATCCCTGGGATCCCTGAGCCTGCTCAGGGATCGTGACTTGCCATCCTTGGAATCCCTGGGATCCCTGAGAAATCATATGGTTTGCTGACCACCGACGTCGCGATCCCTGAGCAGGCTCAGGGATCCCAGGGATTCTGAGCGCGGGATCGCTGGTGGATCCCCAGGTCGGTTTTGCTGGAGGGTTAGGAAATCCCTGGGATCCCTGAGCCTGCACAGGGATCGTGACTTCGCATCCCTGGAATCCCTGGGGTCCCTGAGCCTGCTCAGGGATCGTGACTTCGCATCCCTGGAATCCCTGGGATCCCTGAGCCTGCACAGCGATCGTCACTTAGCATCCCTGCGCATCCCTGGAATGCCTGAGAAATCATATGGTTCGTTTATCGTTCTTGTTAGCGCTGCCGCTGATATCTTATACCTGTTCTCCCAAAGGCGGGGGAAACGGACGCTTGCATCTTCTGAGGTTGCGTTAGAAGAAACATTCCGCTTGCAACGCGTGACTCGGGAAGAGGAACGGAAAGGAGCAGGGATGATGAGAAGAGGATGCGTCTCCAGCTTCGTGGAAGAGGGAGAAGGCGTAGAGTGGGTGCTGGGGGGGGGGGGCTGTCCATATACATATATATATATATATATATATATATATATATATATGCTCACACCCCCCCCCCCCCTATTTTTCCGTGCTCTGTTCTGCTTTCCTCTCTTCGTCCTCCTCCTCTTTCTCATCCTCCTCCTTTCCCCCCCCATCCTCTCCCCTCATACTTTCTCCTCCTTTTGCTCTATTCATATCTCTCTGGTCTTCCTCCTCCTCCTCCTCGTTCTCATCCCTGTCCTATCTTTCTGTTTCTGTACTTCCTGGATTAATCCAGGGCTCGGCGGTTTAATCCACCTCTCCTTCCTCCCTCCTCCCTTCCCTCCTCCTAGAGAGGGGAAGCACACTCGGTGCCCTTCCGCCAATCCGTTTCGGCGTCCAGGGACCGTTTTCGGGCCCCAGAACCATCAAAAACGACCCAGAGCGAAAAACCATCCCAAGGAAAAGGGCGTGGACCTCTGGGGCCGCGGATTTCCTCATGGCTCCAGGCGATTCCCCTTTTCCTACTCCTCCTCCGCCTTCAACTTCTCCCCCCCCCTCCTCCTACTCGCCCCACCCTGTCCGTAGCCATCATCGGCTCAAGTTGCCCCCGCGCGGGCTGATCCGAAGATTTGTGTCGAAGTCTTACAGCAGGTATGAACACCTCGATTGCGGTATCTGGTCGTGTTGTGTTGACCCGTGATGGTAAACGGGCGCGCCTGGATTTGAGCGTTGGCAATCCGTCAGAACCCTCGGGCTCGGCAGCTGCTGACATCATCCGCCTCTTGGAGCCGGCTGCCCCTTCGGGGCCGCCCGTTGCCCCCGTGCCGATCGCGGACCGCGTCCGCCCGCGCGCTGTGGATGTTATTGGTGACGTGAACGCAGGGCGGTTGACCGTGCACCCGTCGAAAACCGACCTCTTACTGAAGGAGGTGAACAACCAGATGGATTACATACAGGCGTCTTGCGGAATGCAGCGCCGCCAGGAAGGCCAATGGAGTGAAGCAGCCCAGAACAAGCTCGTCGCCTGGCTCAACAAGCGCAGGCAAAAGGGAAAGGTCCCTGACGGCCCCCCTGCACGTGAGGCGCCCCCCGCCCTGGCACTCATGGACGGCGTCGTGGGCGACGAGGGCGGCGAGGGCGACGACGAGGGCGGCAAGGGCGACAATGAGGGTGGCGAGAACGACGGCTCGAAGAAGGACGAGGGCGAGGACGAGGAGGAGGAGGGCGAGGAGAGCTCGAAGGACAAGGACAGCGACTCGGAGAACACCTCGGAGGACGAGGACAAGGGCTCGGAAGACACCGAGGGGGCCGAGGACAAGGGCTCGGAGGACACCGAAGGCGAGGGCAAGGGCTCGGAGGACAGCTCAAAGGGCGAGGGCGGCTCGGAGCACGAGAACTACGCGGAGGGTGGGGCCCCGATGGACGAGTTCGAGGAACTGTTCGCCAGGTGCGCGGATGCCGAGGCAGAGTGCTGCCGCCTCACCAAGGAGAACAAGGAGCTCAAGATGCACGAGGCAGAGTGCTGCCGCCTCACCAAGGAGAACGAGGACCTCAAGATGTATATCGAGCGCATGTCCCAGCATTGGGCAGACAGCTCGGATTCCGAGTGAGATTGCTTCTGCCTAGAAACGAACGCGGTGGTCACGAAAAAGGGGTCCGGAGGCGCAAAACTAAATAGGAAGGAGCTCTTGAGAAGAGCTCGGAAGATGTAGCAATAGCTAGTAACAGCAAAACATATCAAGGAATATAGATGTTGTTATAGTTTGGAACAGCTCCTCCCCCCGCTGGATTAATCCAGGGCCGTTGGGATCAAAGCTGAGATTCTTCTGCCTAGAAACGAACGCGGTGGTCACGAAAAAGGGGTCCGGAGGCGCAAAACCAAATAGGAAGGAGCTCTTGAGAAGAGCTCGGAAGATGTAGCAATAGCTAGGAACAGCAAAATATATCAAGGAATATAGATGTTGTTATAATTTGGAACAGCTCCTCCCCCCGCTGGATTAATCCAGGGCCGTTGGGATCAAAGCGTTTCCTGTTTCTCCCTCTCTCTCCTCCTCCCTCCCCCCAGTCGCCGTTTGAGGCTCAAGGCGCAGCCAGCCAACGGAAACAACGACGCAACACCACAATAGCACACAAACGGCGGCACACAGGAAGCAACACAGCAATGATCATGACGCCGATAATCGGTCATCAGAAACACCACCACTGAGACAATAACGGAAACAGCCGACAGAACAGCGACAGAACGCAGCAACATCATACTAACGACCCAAATGACACCCACGAACTAAATAAAGCAGCCGTAGTTGATGAAACAATACATCCTTGCAAAAGCACGCCTTTGCCACCCTCCGTGTCTGTCTGGGCTCAAGCGCGTCAGCGCGCCAGGGGATAAGGCGCGCCTGCCCGTTCCTTGAGCCCGTTCGTGTTCATGCTGCTGACTATGCTATGTAGATGTCCAAGAGGTGCCATGCAGATTCCACGAGGGGTGTATTTCAGCCATTCGATATGGTTCGTCCTTGTTGCACGTTGGGGGTTCCGACCCAGCCTGCAGCTGCTTTGTTCGTTCTCGAACTCGCCGAAGCGATTGAAAAAAAAACTTCCCTCCTCTCCTCCACGCTCCCCTGCTCTGCCGCTTTTCCTCCTCCTTCTCCTCCCCCTCCTCCCTCCCTTGTGTTCCTCCTCTTCCGCTGGCGGAACTTTTTTTTTTTTTTTTTTTTCCTCCTCCCGCTTTCGGAGGCATAGTTGTTTCCTTTTTTTCCCTGTGAAAACACAGGTTTTTCCTTATTGTTCCTTTTTTTCCTCTTTTTCGGTCTTTCCCCTGGGGCGGCGGAAAAATCTGGAGGGCCCGAACGAGGCAGGGAAAAGAGGAAAAAAAGGAAAAATAAGGAAACACCTGTGTTTTCACAGGGAAAAAAAGGAAAAAAACTCTGCCTCCGAGGGCGGGAGGAGGAAAAAAAGGAAAAAACTTTCCGCCTGCGGAAGAGGAGGAAAGGGAGATGGACGGAGGAGGAGGAGGAGGAGGACGACGACGACGACGGGGAGGAGGAGGAGGAGGAGGAGGAGGACGACGAGGAACAGGGAGAGACGGATTTTTCCTCTTTTTCCTCCTCCGGCCTTGGGGCGCGGAGATTTTTTCCGCTTTTTCCCTATGAAAACACAAGTTTTTTTATATTTTTCCTTTTTTTCCTCTTTTCCCTGCTTCGTTCGGGCCCTCCAGATTTTTCCGCCGCCCCAGGGGAAAGACCGAAAAAGAGGAAAAAAATAAAAAAAAGGGAAAAACCTGTGTTTTCACAGGGAAAAAGAGGAAAAAAAAATTGCCTCCGAGGGCAGGAGGAGGAAAAAAAGGAAAAAAACGTTCCGCCTGCGGAAGAGGAGGAAAACGAGGGAAGGAGGAGGAAGCTGAAAGGAGAAGGGAGGAGGAGGAGGGAGAGGAGGAGGAAGCAACATGGGGATCTTGGGGGGGGGTGCGACCATATATATATATATATATATATATATATATATAATATATATAGATATCCATATCCATATCCACTGCCTGTTGAACCGACGTCCTGGGACCACAGCGGGCGGTGGATACGGACACATCTTGGCCCTGGGGGGGGGGGGGGGGCGAATGTATCCACATCCACCGCCTGCCGAGGTCCCCGAGTAGTGCTTCCCCAGGCGGTGATGATGGATAAATCCCCGCCTCGGATCTCGGGGACGTCCAAGAGGGGGGCGTCCAAGAGGGGGGGCGCAAATCATGGCCTGCGGCATGTGCGCGGCCCAGGGGGGGGGGGGGCGGAAACGCATTGAAATAAGAAGATGCGCCATGTACTCTGAGGGGAGATCCCATGGCCCCCGCCATGACATCCCCCCCCGCCGGTCATCGCACCCCTCCTGGCCGCCCCCGACAGATCGCGAAGCTGCTGCCGTGGGGGGCCTGAGCTCGGGCGCCCCGGGGCGCGAGAGGCGCACGTGCCCTCGCGCCGCCGCTCCCGCCGCCCTGGAGAGGGCCGGCTCCCTCCGCCCAGGCCCCGGAGCGCGGCTGCCATCCTCGCGCCCCTCGGGTCGGCGCCGAGCAGCCCAGAAGGCCTGCCACCGCGTGAAAGCCATGGTCCTTCACTGTCGGCTCGTCATCCTCACCACCCTAACTTTTCATCCTCAGCCTCATCCTCTTTTCCTCCTCCTCCTCATCCTCCTCATCCTCTCTGCCTCCTCCTCCTCCGCGCCCTTACCACCGTGACTGGGGGGCGGCCAGAGTTGCCAAACGTCGAGTGGGCTTGACTGCTCTCCTTCGTCTGGTGAAGGCCCGCCAGGCTCTTCACGGACCTCGGGGCCCTAGCGGCGGCTAAGTGACCAAGGGCATCGCCGTGAGGACCAGAAGGACGACAGAGGACAGCCACATGTTGAAGCCGCACACTTCCACCAGCACCACCGCGCCGGCGTAGAGCGTCACCGTGATCTTGGTGAAGAAAGCGGACGCCAACGAGAGGGTCAAAAAGAAATTCCGGAAGCCCTTGCTGAAACGCCTCTCCAGGTACTCCGGCACCGTGTAGATCTCGTAGGCGAGGTACCGCGGGACGAAGCACCACCCCAGGACGATGAGGATGAACGCCGCGTTCCACTCGTAGAGCCCAACGGCGAGCCCAGAAGACGCGCCAGTGCCAGCCAGACCGACAAGGTGGTCGGTGCCCACATTTGACGCGAAGAGGCTGCAACCAATGGCCCACCAGGGCATCGACCGGCCCCCGAGGAAGAAGTGCTCGGCGTCCTTCGCACCGACTGCCCTGTTGCAGTACAGTGTCACTACCAGGAGGATGATGAGGTAGATGGACACAACCACCCAGTCACCGATGCTAACAGCACCTTGGAGGCTCTCGAGCGTTGCTGCGGCAGATCCCACCGCCAGCTCCGCGCTCCCCTGAGCCAGCTTGGCGACCCTGTTCAACAGCAACATGGATAACCATCCACCGAAATACGTAGCGCCGTGGGGTTACGGTCTGAGCCCGAAAGCCTACATAAGAAATGTTATGACCAGCAGCAGCAGAAACAGCATAAACGCTCAACGAATGAATCTCGTAATGGAGGTTGGCATGTACCTCGTATCGCCCCACGTTTCGGTCCGCTGATATTCGCAAGCAAACAACAAGCCTTCCCGAAAAGCGCTGCGTGCTCCTGCGCTGAACTGTTGCTTGCGACGTCATGGGAAAGCTGAATCCACGGGTCCAGACCCCTCGACTCCCTGGGGCAGCAGGCAGATGAGGGGAGGGGGGATGTTGAGGGGGAGGATGAGGGCTCAGGAAGTGGGGTGTATGAGGAATAGGGAGCGGGTCGCATGAAAATGCGCGCACGCATCCCACCTCTTATCAGGATTGGGGAGGGGGGATGCTCAGGCGCGGGCTCGCGCTGCCTGGATCCAAGCACCCCCAGCACCTGCCTCGTCCACGCCCGAGGGGAAACTTCCTTCTCAGAGACACAAGAAACGACATAAATATAGACTTTTGGAGGTCCGTTCGGATCTCTTGGATCGGCGTTGGGCCCCCGTCCCTGGCGCGCGGAGCGCGCCAGGGGCGGCTCCAGAATCAGGGAGGCGGCAAGACAGAGGAAGACACTTGGGAAAGTCAACAAGCAAAACGGCCCAAGAGGGCCCAATAGTGCCCCACAGCGGCCCAAGAGGGCCACAACCCAGCCCCAAGACAGCCCAAGAGTCGCCCAAGATGGCCCAAGAGGGCCTCAACAGGGCCCTAAGGAAGGACCCAAAAGGGGCAACTCGAACTGACATTTCGGGCCCTCCGCCCCAACAGGGCCCCCGAGACCGCCAGCAGGCGCTCAAGAAGGCCCAAAGCGGCCCCCATGAGGCCCAAGAGAGGCCCCAAAATGATTCCTAAGAGGCCCCCAAAGTGCCGCAGAGGTCCTCAGGAGGCCCACAAGGCCTGACGCGTGCACATCTTAATCGTCCAGTACGTCGTCGTCGTCCTCCTCATCACCGCCGCCATCGCAATCCAAGCGGCGCCAGGCTCAGAAAAGGACCCCGGGACGCCCATCTCCGCCTCCAGCCAGCCCGTCGGCGAGTCCAGACAAAGTCCAGTCACTCCCAAGCTGAGGCCCCGCAAGGCCTCACCGTGGACTTCTGCATGGTCCAGTACTTCGTCCTCGTCTTCATCATCACCACCGCCATCGTCTTCTGGGGATCAGCGGAATGACGTAAGCCACTGAAAGAACACGCTATAGGACGATGTAAGACGAGATAACATGATGAACTGTGTAAGACGAGACATGATATCATTTAGGGATGAAGGTCGATCATACGATGCACTCTCAAGCGATGTGTGCCACGAACTAGAATTTGGCGACAGGTCGCCTGAAGATGCCCAGGTTGCACCATTCCACATTCGGCCATCTAAAATTTGGCGACGGCGCCAGTGGCAAATCACATTGTGACTTCGGCGCGCCATCGACATTTGGCACGGGAGTGGCGTGATACTTCCCCACCAGTGAAACTCAGAACGCCGCATGAACAAGTTTGGCGGTGGCGTAGTAACAGAGTCCCCCCCGAAAGAACAGCAATCGACAACTAAGCAAGTAACTGTAAGGCGATGCAAGATGATACAAGCCGACGGCTCGAAGTCGCATCTCATGGTATTGTATAACCCTATATGCTTTATCGTCTCAAGCCGTGGTACCGTCTTATATCGGTTTAGAGCGTCTGATACGATATTAGCTCGCCTTATCGTCTGGTATCGTCTTATATCGTCTTGTAGCCGTTTATCGCATTTCTTCTATCGTTTGGGCGAAATGGAGCAGAGCACCTGCGACCACAATTCATTATTGAACGCTGTCCGCACCTGGAGTACCTGGAGGCTCCCGACGCGATCTTGACTACAGATTTTGCATCGTGGGCTCGTTACTGTAAGCCCTCTGGGCCCGAAAGGGGGCTTGTTCAACCTTGAATGCCCGCGCTGGGGTCGCGCCGCGTCCACGCGACAGGAGATGGGAAGAATGAGGATGGGAGGGATTGGAATGGGCGTTGGAGAGGAGATCGAAGGGGAAGGCGAACGGAGGGGCGAGAGGAGGTGGAGAATGAAGTGAGAGGAGACGCAGGAAAGAGGAGAGGAGGTGGAGGGGGAGGTGAAAGGAGGAAGAGGACATGGAGGGGGAAGTGACAACCCGCGACCACTTTGCATGAGTTTTTGGCACGAACGGCGGGGGGTGCCAGCATATTGCCTGCTGTGCGCAGGCCCACCGAACACCATGATGGCCACCCCGCCGCCACTTTGCCCTCTCTTCTGAAAGGAATGGTGGGTGTCGATATGTTTCCCGATGTGTGCTGTCGCGTGCACTGGCGCACCTGGCACATTCTGCGCGCGCCGCACACGTGGCGCATCTGGCGCGGCGGGGCCCGTCAGAGGCCCTCCTCATCAGGGAAGGCCTCGAAAGGCCGCCCAAGAGACCACCCCAATAACCGTCCCAAAAGAGGCCATGTGCCCACGACCTAGAGACGGTGGCGGGTTTGGTATCACGAAGCCGTCCAAGTCCTCGAGGACTCCATAGAGCCTCCCAGAGACTCTCAAGGGCTCCCAAGCACTCGAGTGGTCTCCCGGAGCTTCCCGAAGCTCCTCAGAATTCGCCGAGGCCCGCCTTGCCCTCCTGATGCCCCCCCAGAAATCCTCGATGCCCGGGGCAAGGGAGTCGGCGGCAATGACCCCTCCAGACCATGCTCCCAGAGGCCGCCAAAATGTCGGCACAGTCTCGGGGGTGCAGAAACGCCCCTCAAGGCGACCCAGAAGGCCCGTATATGGACCAACAAGGCCGGCAAAGCAGCATGCACTCAAAGGGCCCCAGCACCCTCACACCCTTCTGGGTGAAAGCAGCAGGCAAGCAGGGGGCTGGCCAGACCCTTGCGCCTGCAAGCCTGGGTCCCCTCCCTGGATGCGCCGGAGGCGCCGCCAGGCGGATCTGGCGCCGATCTAAAAGATCCGCGCGGAGCTCCAACAGCTTATGCTTAGCAAGTCTTTCCCCCCGTCGACAGAGGAGGACCTTCTTCCTCGTCTCTGCCCACTCGGCCCCTTTCAAAGAAAGAGAGGAGGCGTCATGCGTCGCATCCGCGAGACGTGGGGCAGAGGACGGCGCAGGCAGCGGAGAGAGCGGTCGCCAGGAGCGCTGTGCCTGCGTCGGAGGTCGTCGAGAGCGCACCTATCATGAGAGAGTTGGAGTTCTCCAGAAACTCCAGCGAGTAGGTCCTGGCGGCAGATCGAGCCACTGGGGCGGTGGGACTCGACGACGACGACCTCCTCATCCTCCTCCTCTTCTTCTTCCTCCTCCTCCTCTTCCTCCTCCTCCTCCTCCTCCTCCTCCTCCCTCCTCCCTCCTCCCTCCTCCCTCCTCCCTCCTCCCTCCTCCCTCCTCCCTCCTACCTCCTACATCCTACATCCTACATCCTACCTCCTCCTTCCTCCTTCCTCCTTCCTCCCTCGTCCCTCCTACCTACTCCCCCTTCCTCCCTTCCTCCCTTCCTTCCTTGCTTCCTTCATTTTCCTCCTGCTGCTCCTTCTCTGAACTCGTCCTCCTCCTCCTCCTCCTTCTCCCTTTTCTGCTGCTGCTGTCGCACCACCAGACGTGTCTTCAGGGCGGTCTGGGTGTTTGCCTCGTAGTTCCTCACCGCTTGCGACACTGAGGCTCCCAGCGGTCGCACGGGATCGAGGGCGGACCGTCCTCAGCATGAGACTCTCGACTGGCGCCGAAGACACTCGTCCTGAACAACATCGAGAGATCATACGGAAACAGGGGTGGGTCGACGCGGGGCTCTCGCCTTGGCGCCGCTCACACTCGCCTTGAAAGCTTCCAGCAATCACATGGTGTTCAAAATGGCCCCCTCGCCTTGGACGTCCACAGCATTCAGAACCGTACGCGGATGGACGTTTTTATTATTTCTAATTCAAAAACGAAGCCCACCTCGTCGCACTCTTTGAAGCTCGAAGGATACCAAGCAACTTTTTCTCAGATACGGGCTTCCGCCTGAAGTGCAGTCCCCTTTGGGCGCTCGCCTTTCAAGGGGGCGCTTCCCGCAGTGGACAAGGGTGCCTGTGGGGACTTGTTGGGGGCCGCGCAGGGACCAAACACGAGCGCGCGAGAAGCGCTATGACCACATCGCGTTCGGCGATCGGGGGACTCCAGTGGGCCCGCAACCAAGGTCGCTCCAGTGAAGGGTCACTCTTACGTCTAGTCGAGAAGCGTGCGATGCAGCATCTTTGTTGCATCTCGGGTTCACTCTGGTACTCATCCTCCCCCGCCTCCCTGTCCGCGGCCGCGCTCGGCGTGTCCTGCAGGCCCACACCCCGTACGGTCGGGAACTTCTGCATAGCAGGTCGCCGTGGCGGCCCCGGCGATGCGCCATGCCTTGCAAGCGGATCGCGTGCCGCTCCGCTCCGCGGGGCGGGAAGCTCGGCAAGGCTCGGGACATTGGCACCTCGGGACCGCGAAGTGGCCAGCGTGCCCTACCGAGGCGCGGCGGGCCAGAGCCAGCGGAGCGACACGCCACCCAGAAGCTCCCGACCGCAGCTCGCCCCTGCCCTGGGCGTGGCGGCCATGGGCGGCCGCCCCGCCTCGCCCGGCCTTGCCCGACGGTGCACCGCGCCGCCTCTTTCCCGGTCGCCTCGCCTCTCGTCGGGCACGGTGGCGGTGGCGGCCGTGGGTGAGGGGCACCGGAAGGGGGGGGGACCGGCTCAGGGGGAGACGGGTCGGTCTGGAATCGGCGGCACGTCGCGGATGGATGGGCCACGGGCCCCCGACAGCGAATCCGCATGCTTCTGGGCAGGGGTGGGCCATCGAGTCCCTATCGGAGATGAGTGGGCGATCGGGGGTCGATGCGTCCCCCCGTGAGCCCATCCCCCCTTGACGTTGCCCTCCTCCTCCTCCTCCTGCTCCTCCTCCTCCTGCTCCTCCTCCTCCTGCTCCTCCTCCTCCTCCTCCTTCTCCTCCTCCTCCCTCCCCCTTCCCATTCCCTATCTCCCTTCCCTTCCCCTCTTCCTTCTCCTCCTCCATCCCTTGCCATTATACATAACTCTTCCCTGTCACACCCCTGGACGTGTCGCTAGGGCGGGCGGGCGTTTCGCTGACTTGCTCACCACTAACGACCCTGAAGCTTGACTTGTCAACAGTTTTACGGGTGGAGGGTGGTGGTGGTTTTCAACATGCGGTTTTCGTCCTAGCGCCGTGCACATTCGCTTTAAAAGTTCGCAGCTGTTTCACAGACGAAGGGGGTCTTTTTCAAAATGCGGCTCTCGCCTGAGCGTCGCGCGCACTCGTCTCAAACAAACTGCACCAGCTTCACGGGCGGAGGGGGCCCTTTCTAAAATGTGGGTCTCGCCACAGCACCTCGTACATTCGTTTGCGACACGTTGCAAAAGCTTTGCGGATGGAGCGACGCACTCTCAAAATGTGGCTCTCACTGTAGCGCCGCGAACATTCGTCTTGTAGGTTTGCAGCAGTGTCAAGGATGGAAACAAGGTTGGTTTGCAAAATTGCTCTCTCGCCTCAGCGCCGCGAACATGTGCCTTAAAAGCTTGCAACAGATTCGCGAATGAAGGGCGTTCATTTTTTCAAAGTGGGTTATCGCATCAACGCCGCGCACATTCGTCTCAAAATCTAACAGCCGTATCAAGGATGGCGTTTGCCGTTTTCAAAGTGGGGCCCCCGCCTCTGCGCCGAGCGCACTTGATTTGTAATGCATCGTCAAGAATGCTGGAAGACCACTCATTGTCAACAAAGAATTCTCGCCTGAAGGCTCCTTACGTTATTTTTGAACCCGGAGCTTCAACGCACGTAGCGCTGCGAGTATCCATGGCGGCTCTTTCTCACATGGAGCTGTCGCTTGAGACTTCCTCGACGCTCATGGCCACAATTGTATACAATTGTAAGCCTGCGCGAGCAACAACTACATACGGATGGTAAGGCCGTTTTCCTTGAGGGGGGGATCTTGCAGAACATCTCGCTGAAATGTTCTGGTTCACTCTGGTCCTCCTCCTCTTCCTCCTCCTCCTCCTCCATCCCTTCTCCTTATAAGTAAAATAACTTCTCCCCGTCGCACCCCGAGGCCAGTTTTTAGGGCGGGCCGGGCGTTTCGCTTGAGACTTCCTCAGCACTTATGACCCTGAAGCTTGAACATTGACAACAGTTTCACATCTCGAGGGCGGATCGTTTTCAAAATGTCGCTCTCGACTTCGCGCCGCGCACATTCGTCTTACAAGTTGCAACAGCTTCACGGATTGAGGGCGAGTGGTATTCAAAATGTGGCTTTCGCCTTAGCGCCACGCACGCTCGTCTTAAACATTTGCAAGAGCTTCACGGATTGAGGGCGAGTGGTCTTCAAAATGTGGTTCTCGCCTTAGCGCCGCGCACATTCGTTTTAAACAGCTGCAAGAGCTTCACGGACTGAGGGCGGTTCCTTTTCAAAATGTGGCTCTCACCTCAGCGCCGCGCACATTCACCTTAAACATTGCAAAAGCTTCACGGATTGAGGGCGGGTGGTTTCCAAAAGGTGGTTCTCATTTTAACACCGCGCACACTCGTCTTAAAACCTTTCAAGAGCTTCACGTATTGAGGGCGAATCGTTTTCAAAATGTGGTTCTCGCTTAAGCGCCGCGCACACTCGTCGTAAAAAATTGCAAGAGCTTAACGGATTGAGGGCGGCTCCTTTTCAAAATGTGGCTCTCGCCTTAGCGCCGCGCACATTGGTGTTGAATAGAGACAACATCTTAACGGATTCCCATGATCTGCGTACCAGCAATGGTGTTTGGAAGGATTCAGGCTTATGCGGGTGCACAAAATATGTTGCTTCGCGGTGTTCAAGTCCCAGGAATGGCGTTCTGGCGCGATTCAGGATCGTCACGACGCAACAGTCAGGTTGACCCATGGCGCTGGAATCCCGGGAAGACTGTTTGGGTATGCTTCAGGGACTTCAAACAATTGTCTTACGAGGCAGTCGCCTCAGTAAAAATGAATCGTTGTAGGGGCCCATGAAGAGGGAGCTTGGGGGGAGGAATTATTCCAACATCGTTGACGCCTCGTGGGTTTACACAGGTCCTCCTCCTCCTCCTCCTCCTCCTCCTCCTCCTCCTCCTCCTCCTCCTCCTCCTCCTCCTCTTCCTCGGGCGGAGATCGCCGCCCCACGCGCTGATTCTGGCCGCCCCGATGGGGTCCCGGACTCCGTGCACAGGGCGGCCTGGCCGCCGTCGTTCCCTCTCGTAGCGCCGCTGAACTCGTGGAAGTAGAACCTGACGCGGGGCAGGGCGGGAGGAGGGGGGGGAGGAGGGGGGGAGGAGGAGGAGAAGGAGGAGGAGGAGGAGGAGGAGGAGGAGGAGGAGGAGGAGAATGGGAATCAGGAGCAGGAGGATGCCCGAATGCTGCGATGCTAACGAAGGCTAGTAGTCAATTGAACGCTGTGCACCCCCCTTTCGGGCATCCTATTTCATTTCATTCCGTCGTCGACTTCGTCTTCGTCGTCGTCGTCCTCCTCCTCCGCCTCCTCCCCCTCCTCTTGCTCTCTGCAGCTACACAATGTGAACACTACTCCCCTCACTCCCCCGAAAACGTCCTGAGAAAGGCGCGCCCCTCCGCGTATGTTTTTTTTGTTTGTCACAGGGTTAGTCCGAGTTGGATTCACATTATCTCAATATTGGGTTTGTGTTAAGACTTAGGTGCCGCCTACTCCTTCACACACATACACACTCTTCCCCCATCTCCTCCTGCCCCCATCTTCCTCATATCCTCATCATATCCGTAAGATGGGCCTTGCACCTTCACACCTACTCGTCTCAGACGCACTCACATTCATATTCCACTCATACACAGGCTCACTCACACTCAGACGCACTCAACTCCTCGACCCGAAGTCACGCACACTCACACTAACTCCCACTCAAGTTCACCAGCACGCAGACCCACTCACTCTCAGACTCACTCATGCTCAGACTCATCCGCACTCAGACTCACTCACGCTCTTACCTACTTATACTCAGACTCACTTTCACTCATACTCACCCACACCCAGACTCACTCACACTCAGACACTCCCGTACTTATTAAACTCACTCACACTCAGACACATTCACTCTCATACTCAGACTCACTCATACTCATAATCTATCAGACTGAAACTCGTAGAGTGCGAGGATGTCTGAGGCGCGGCGGTGGTTTTGGCGCTCCCAAGGGGGAGCGGCCAGGGTGGTTGCACGGGCCCGTTCGCGCCCAGATTGTGGGGATGTCTCAAGCGGTTTCCCTGTTTCGGTGCCCAGACTAGGTTACTTTCAGAGTAGATATCACGCGGGCGACTCTAACATAGGACCCATAGGGGGGCCATCGTGAAGAAAAGCATTCCCAGGGAAGGCCGTGGGTAGCCCGTGCCAACAAAATCCCACACAAAAATGAACTCTCAGCCGCGGGGGGGTTGGTGCGCGGGGTTCCACCACCACCCCAGCGCAACCAGAGGAAAAACGCGAGAGCCCAGATCGTAAATGTAATGCGACATCACTCTCATAGTAGGTAGTTGCACACGGGAAATGCACTAGTATTACTTGCACGCTACTGTGTGTCCTATTTCCGAAATCGGCACTCTATGTTGTCTTTTTACTCCTTAGTCGCGATTATATTATGCCTCCGTGTTCCCAAGTCGCGATTCTATAGTGTTTCCTAATTCATAAGTCACGAGTTTATACTGTTTCCTCAACTACCACAATTGCAATTCGATGAGACCAGTTGTGCTCAGCTGTACTGCAGGGCCAAGTGCACTGTAGGAGCAGCTGCGCGCTAGCACATGATGGTACAAACTGTACTCAAGTGCTATGTGTACTCTAGACGGACGGGTTCACGGGTTCCGGTGGCAATACGCGCGCGGAAGAAGAACTAAATCCATGCGCCGCCAAGGGTTCTGGTTTTCACGGGTCGCCGCGAAGGTGGGCCCCCCGCGGACAAAAAACAAATCTGGCCGGGGGGGTGGGGAGTTCAGGCATGAGTCGCGGGGGCGATGGGCAGATTTCGAAGATGTCCCACTTTATTCGTTGATTTCAGCACCCCGAGAATGCCAGATAGTGGGGATGTCTCAAGGGGTTTGCCTATTTGGTGGTTTGGGCCCCGCGGTTTTCAGATCAGATTGCAAACCTTCAGCACCTCAAGGGGCCCAGATTGCGGGGATGCCTCCGGCGAGTTGCATGTTTGGCGGCTGAGACCCCTCTGCTTTCAGAGCAGATTGTGAGGATGTGCTGAGCGGGGCGCTGGCTTCAGGACCCCAAGAAGGAGCCGCCTCCGGCCCTTTTGCAGCCAGATTGTGGGGATGTCTCGACCGGTTAGCCTGTTCGGTGGCTTGGACCCCCCAGTTTGTGAGGATGTCTCGAATGAGGCGCTGGGTGGGGGAGCCGCCAGGTATGGTTGCACTCGCTTGCTCGCGGCCAGATTTTGGGGAGGTCTCGAACGAGGCGATCGTTTTGCACGCCCGACTCTTGTCCACTCAAAACCTTATATCGCGTCGAATACAAGGAGAAAGACGGCCGTCAGGCAATAGGAGAGAAGACAGAGGAAAACGGATGAAGACGCGAGGGGAAGGGAGGAAGGAGGAAGATAAGGGAGGGGCCAAGACAAGGAGGAAGAGGAAAAACAGAGGGAAAGGCCGCCAGGGAGGAGGACACTCGCCAGGGATGAGAAAAGAGGAGCAAGGCCGGAGGATCGGCAGCCAAATGGCTGGATTCAGGGCGATGCGATCGCAGGCGGCTTCCGCTGGAGGAGCGACCCTCGCACCGGCCACGGAAACAATAAGCTTCCGAAGACACGTGCGACAGAGAAGGAAAGCGAGGGGGGGAGGGAGGAACTCGAGACAGCATCGCAGCGGCCGGTCGCTACAATGAAAGCAACACTGTTCGGATAACAAATAATAATGCTCTCATTTTCCACTGAGGCCAAGTGGCTGGATTCAGGGCGACGCGACCGCAGGCGGCTTCCGCTGGAGGAGGACGCTCGCAGCGGCCACGGAAACGATAAACTTTCGAAGACACGTGCGAAAAACTGAAAACTGCAAAGCTCCTCTGGCACCGCCGAACCGCCGCCGCCGTGAGCGGAGTGGGCGCCGGCCTTGCTGGGCGGCGCGGGCTGCGTGTCCACGTCGGCGGCGGGTGCTGGACTGGTGTGCGGATCTACTCCAGTTCCGCCCGCGGCGCCAACCAAACGAAGACGTTTTCAGACTCACTTATCAAGGCCAACAGCTCTGTCGTTCAATGCTTGAAATTGGGTGGCACGGGGACGAGCTGTTTCATTCTCGAAGGCCTGGGCCAGGGCGCCCCGCAATTGACGGAGATTGGCTTCGGCCACATTAATCTTGGAAATCCCCGGGGGGGTCTGGCCGCAGAGACAGTGATGCTTACGGCCTGTTACAACGCGAACCCGGCCAGTGCGCCGACGAGCCGAGAGGGGCGTCAGATCAAGCAGGTAGGCGACAACCTGGGTGTCTTTTCTCCAGGGGGTCCCGAAAGGACAATACTCGAATACTTGCAGACTTACATCCTGGCGCCTCTGCGGGCTCGGCATGGGCGGAAAGGGCCAGGCGTAGCTGAGAGCGGGGTTCTCGATGGACTGGGGCACGAGGCACTGGCAGCACAGCGCGCGCAAAGAAACGCCAGCTTCGCGAAGAGCTGCGACCTGCCCCATTTGACAGTCTCGGCCTCACCTGGAGGCAGGGAGGGCAGGCCCCGGGGGTGTTCGATGGAGCAGAGGCGCGGGGGGGCCGCTGGGCTGGCCCACTCGCGCGCGAGGAGGTCTCGGAAGGGAAGCCTGTGCGCGCGCCGCATACCGAGCCGGCCCGGATCCATCCTCGAAAGAGGCGGGCGCTCTCAGGGCCCTGAGGTCGTGGACGGGGCCGGGGAGGATGTCCCAGAGGAGAGTGGGCGCGTTCCTCTCGGCGACGGCGTCCGACCGGTGCCCTGGCCCAGCGAATGGCCCGAGGAAGACTGTGACCTGCGGCGCCTTCAGCGGCCCGGCGAGGGCAAACGCCTCCGCGCAATGCGCCGGGCAGCTCCAGCGCGGCGGCGGACGAGGGCCACGATGATGACGATGCTGACGGTTGTGATGATGATGATGGTGCTGCTGATGATGATGCTGGTGACGATGCTCATGATGAGGATGAGGATGAGGATGACGATTATGATGCTGATGGTGGTGATGGTGGTGGTGATGCTGATGATGGTGCTGCTGATGATGATGGTGATGATGAGGATGGTGGTGATGATGGTGATGATGATGGTGATGATGATGACGATGGTGATGATGATGACGATGATGCCGATGCTGATTATGATTATGATGATGATGATGATGATGATGATGATGATGATGATGATGATGATGATGATGATGATGATCGACCGTATCCTGGCGTTGTTCGTCCACAGCCGCCTACTTAAACGTAGCGTGACGATGCTCATGATGAGGATGAGGATGAGGATGACGATTATGATGCTGATGGTGATGGTGGTGATGATGCTGATGATGGTGCTGCTGATGATGATGGTGATGGTGATGGTGATGGTGATGATGATGATGATGATGATGATGATGCTGATGATGACGGATCCAATTTAGGGTGCACATCCAGCGTGCGATAACCCATAAGTCTGGGTCCACACAGGCAAGCATGCATGTATCCTCCCGCCGTTCAGACTGGCGATCTCGCCCCAGCGGGGGTCACTTGTGTGGATCCGAATCCTTCCTCATCGCTGTTTCCCCCTTCTTTCCACTCCTCCGCCTTTCCCTGGTACTCCTGCTCCTCCACTCATTCCATTACTATTCCTACTGCTCGTCCTGATCTTCCGTTTCATCCTGATCATCCCACTGCTTACCCGCCACCTACTCCTCCGCCTCGCCCTCCTCCTTCTACTCCTCCTCCTCTCCTCCTCCTCCTCCTCCTCCTCCTCCTCCAATGCACGCAGCTGCCATACTTCGATTGCGCATCAAACGATTGGGACTTTGCTGGAGTTCCAGGTCAACTATGATATGCGTGTGAGAAATCACAAAACAAGCTTCATGCGAAAGGATGGGTGGGAGGGGTGGGATGTCAGATATGGCGCGAGTGCACCTCGCTTGCATCGCTCCCCTCTATCCTATCATGCCTCTCTCCTCTCACCCCCTGCTCTCACCTCCTCATCCTCCTCCGCTTCCCGTTCGACGCGTCCTTCTTCTTGTCCTCCTGCTCCTCCTCCTCCACCTCCGCCTTCTCCTCCTCCTCCTCCTCCTCCTCCTCCTTCCTTTTTCCAACGGCGGGTGATGCCTTGTGCCCCATCCGACTTTCCAGGGTGATGCCTGCCCTCGAGAGCATCCGAGCTACAGTACAATACTCCTCCTCCTTTTCGACGCGCGTGCGTGCCCGCCTCGAGCCAGCCTCCAGCGCCGCCAACTCCTCCCACGCAGCGCGGCGGCCAGCGGGGCAGGCGCGGGGAAGGATGAGGAGAAGGAGGAGGGCACTCCCTTCTGGCACAGCCTGCAGGAGGAGGGCGGAGGAGGAAAAGGAGGAGGAGGAGGAGGGTGGATCAACGTTCCTACTGCGTCCTGACGGTCCCGAGCCGTACCAGAACACCGTTCCTGGGACATTATCGCCGCGAATCAACATGCCTGTTGCGCCCTGACAGTGCTACGCCATGCAAAAACACAAATTCTGGGACGCCAGTCATGCAAATCCGGGAAGCTGCTGTAAACTCTTTAAACCACGTGCGCGACGTTAAGGCGACAACCACATTTTGAAAACGACTCGCCCTCCATCCGTACAGCTCCTGCAAACTTTTTAAACAACTGTGCGCAGCTGTAATGCGATAGTCACATGGAAACTGCCCGCGCTCCATTCGTGAAGCTTCTGCAAGCTCTTAAAACCATGTGCGCGACGTTTGGGCGACACCCACATTTTGAAAACTACCCACCCTCCATCCGCAACACTTTGGCGAACTGTTGAAACGAATGCGCGCTGCGCTACGGCGAGAACCACACGTTTAAAATCACCACTCGTGAATATGTTGCAGGTGTTCAGTTTCAGGATGATACGCGGTGGGGAAATCCCAAGCGAAACGCGCCAGGGATCGGGGGTGCGACAGGGAAGAGTTACGTGTACTCATGTCAGCTAGCGTGGGCCTCAAACAATGTGGTTCTAGCCATGTGCGTGGAACAAGCTATGTGGGACAACTATGTGTTTCAACCTACGTTGTGCAATCTGTGTTGCGCTGGTGGGCAACATATGTGGTGCAATTCGCTTGCCGAACTTGAAATTGTCAACTCCACTGCTCGCGCAATCATCCCACCCACCTACCCGCAACTTGGTTTGCAAAACACTGCGGGAACGATTGCGATAAGTGCTGGGTGTTGGCTGGTCGCCGACGGCGCCGACGACGACGACGACGACGAGGGAGGAGGGAGGACGACGACGGGAACGACGACGACGACGGCGACGACGACGCCAACGACGACGACGACGACGACGACGACGACGACGACAACGACGACGACGACGACGACGGCGGCGACGACGACGACGACGAGAAGGATTTCGGCATCCGCGCGAGGCGTCCGTGCGCATGTGCCCCGCGTGGTGTTTGTGTTACAAGGGATTGTGGCCCTGGCAAGCGCACGACCGATGCTAAAAGAGTTCGACGCACGCGCAAAAGTTGGTCGCATGACCGACATCTGGAAACACCATTGGTTTTCTTTAGGGTGCGGAATGCGCGCGCGGGTCGACATTTAGATCTTTTTCGCAGATCTTTGTTTCGAGGAAATACGGTACGATTCGTCTTGACATGGTTGAAGACACAATGTGTTTGGAAGGATTTCGGCCTGCGCGCGCGGCGGCCGCGCGCATGTGCCCCGCATGGTATTTTTACAAAGGATTGCGGCCCTGGCAGGCGCACGACCGACGTTGAAGGCGTTCGACTCGCGCGCAGAAGTTGCTCGCATGACACAGATGTTGACATACCATTGGTTTTTGAGGATTCGGAGAGCGCGCGCGGGTAGAATTTTTCATGTTTTGCAGATTTGTTTCGAGGATGTATGGTACGATTCGTGTGATTTCATGAAGCTCGGTCTTGAAATTGTTGAAACCACAAGGTGTTTGGAAGGATTTCGACGTGCGCGCGCGGCGGCCGCGCGCATGTGCCCCGCATGGTACTTTTTTTACGAGGGGTTGTGGCCCTGGCAGGCGCGCGCCCTTTGTTGAATGAGATCGACGTGCGCGCAGAAGTTGCCCAAGAAGCCCAACTTGACAGGAATGTTGAAAAACCGTTGTTTTTGGAAGGGTTCGGCAAGAGCGCGCGGGCAGATGTTTCATAATTTTTGGGTGGGAAAATCGTATGGTTTCATAAATGTTCTTGAAGCGGGATGTTCAAATTGTTGAAAACACAAGGTGTTTGGAAGGATTTCGACATGCGCGCGCAGCGGCCGCGGGCGTGCCCCGCGTGGTATTTTTACTAGGGATTCGTGAACAAGTGTTCTGTTAGAGCGACAAATGACACCGTATTAATATGTTTTGCAAGGGAACCGAGGGGGGCCGATACCGGCCTGGCTGGGGTAGTATGAATTCACGGGTAAGAATGGGTAAGATGGACACTGGGTCAGAATCCTATGTGTTTTGCGTCGGTTCCCGGGGAATCGAGAAGTCCGGGGGGGGGGGAGGGTGATAGAACCTATCTCCAATTTAGAAGGGAGAATCTATGTGGTGCAACTCACTTTGACCGTCGTGAAGCTGTCCTCTCCACTGCTCGTGCAAACATCCCACCCTCCCACCCTCAACTTGGTCGCAAAACTTTTTACGACAAGACCGTAACGGTAGGTACCACATGGCACTTGGCCACGACACCGACGCCGACGACGACAACGACAACGACGACGACGGCGCCGCCGACACCGACTACGACGACACCGACGACACCGACGACGACGACGACACCGACGACGACGACGACGACGCCGACGACGACGACGAAGACGACGACGACGTCGCCAACGAAGACGACGACGAGGGAGGAGGGAGGACGACGACGACGACAACGACGACAACGACGACAACGAGGGAGGAGGGAGGACGGCGACGACGCAAACGACGAAGAAGGAGGAAGGACGGCGACGCCGACGACGACAACGACGAGTGAGGAGGGAAGACGAAGACGAGACGACGACGACAACGACGACGACGGCGACGAAATAGGAGGGACGACGACGAGACGCCGACGACGGACGACGACGACGACGACGAGGGAGGAGGAGGAAGGACGACCACGGCGACAACGACGACGGAAACGACCACGACGCCAAAGAGGACGACGACGACGAACACGAGGAAAGACACAGGACGACGTAGGCAACGACGACGACGACGACGCGGGAGGAGGGAGGACGGCGACGACGACGACGACGACGACGACGCCGCAAGAGCGAGGGCACGCTTTTGTTGAAAATCCGTGTTGCGAAACCTTGTGTTTTTGTAGGTTTTTGGGACGCGCGATTTTGAAATCCTTCCGAAACCGATGGGTTTTGAAGGATTTCGGCGTACGCGCGCGACGGCGCGCGCGTCTGCACTTCGTCCCATTTTTTGCAAAGGATTCTCGCGACGGCACACGCGCAAGGGCGTTCGACAGATTTCGACATGCGCGCGCGCGACGCCCGTTTGGAAAATCTTGAAAAACCAAAGCGGTTTTCTTAAGATTTCGCAAGAGCTCGCGCGTAAGCTTTATTAGCAAATCAGTGTTGCGAAACCCTGAGTTTTGTATGTTTTTTGGAAACTCGATTGCGAAATCCTTCCGGCACCGAAGGTTTTGAAGGATTTCGGCATGCGCGCGCGACGACGCGCGCGTGTGCACTTCGTCCAATTTTTTGCAAGGGATTCGTGAAAAAGTGTTATGTTAGAACAACAAATGTCACCGCATAGTGTTTGTTTACAAGGGAACCTCAGGGGGGGGGATACCGGTTGGCCTAGGACATTGTGATTTCATATTTAGGATGGACATGTGGTCAGAATCATATGTGATTTGCATACCCGAAAAGGGGGACCGATAACGCCGGGGGGGGGGGTAGAGTCTATTCTCTTTTTAGTCACGTGCCGAACTTGAAGTTGTCAACTCCACTGCTCGCGCAATCATCCCACCCACCCACCCGCAACTTGGTTTGCAAAACCCATGCGGGACCGAGCACAGATATCGCTCCGGGGTCGTCTTGGAGCCCTCGGGGGCGTCTCAAGAGCGCCCCAAGAAGCCCAGAGAAGCAAGACGGCCGACGACGACGACGACGGCGGCGAGACGACGACGCCGACGTCGACGACGACGACGACGACGCCGTCGCCGACGACGACGACTAAGACGACGACGTCGCCAACGAAGACGACGACGAGGGAGGAAGGAGGACGACGACGGCGACAACGACGACAACGACGACAACGACGACAACGAGGGAGGAGGGAGGACGGCGACGACGCAAACGACGAAGAAGGAGGAAGGACGGCGACGCCGACGACGACAACGACGAGGGAGGAGGGAAGACGACGACGAGACGACGACGACAACGACGACGACGACGACGGCGACGAAATAGGAGGGACGACGACGAAACGCCGACGACGGACGACGACGACGACGACGAGGGAGGAGGAGGAGGAAGGACGACCACGGCGACAACGACGACGGAAACGACCACGACGCCAAAGAGGACGACGACGACGAACACGAGGAAAGACACAGGACGACGTAGGCGACGACAACGACGACGACGCGGGAGGAGGGAGGACGGCGACGACGACGACGACGACGACGACGACAACGCCGCAAGAGCGCGCGCGCACGCTTTTGTTGAACATCCGTGTTGCGAAACCTTGTGTTTTTGTATGTTTTTTGGACGCGCGATTTTGAAATCCTTCCGAAACCGATGGGTTTTGAAGGATTTCGGCGTACGCGCGCGACGGCGCGCGCGTCTGCACTTCGTCCCATTTTTTGAATCGGGTTCTCGCGACGGCACACGCGCAAGGGCGTTCGACAGATTTCGACATGCGCCCGCGACGCCCGTTTGGTAGCATGTTGTGAACATCTTGAAAAACCAAAGCGGTTTTCTTAGGATTTCGCAAGAGCTCGCGCGTAAGCTTTTTTAGCAAATCAGTAATACGAAACCCTGTGTTTTTGTACCTTTTTTGGAAACTCGACTGCCAAATCCTTCTGGCACCGAAGGTTTTTGAAGGACTTCGGCATGCGCGCGCGACGACGCGCGCGTGTGCACTTCGTCCAATTTTTTGCAAGGGATTCGTGAACAAGTGTTATGTTAGAACAACACATGTCACCGCATAGTGTTTTTTACCAGGGAACCTCAGGGGGGGGGATACCGGTTGGCCTGGGACATTGCGATTTCATATTTAGGATGGACATGTGGTCAGAATCATAT